AAGAGAAAACCCAAAACAACTATGGGCCAAAATCTCTCATTGAATTTAGACACAAAAATTTCAACAAAATATTAGCATATTGTATTCACCAATAAGTAAAAATACAATACATCACAGACAAGTGGGGCTTATCTCACGAATGCAATGCTCATTGTTTGGAAGATTCAATGCTGTTGAGATGTCAGTTCTCCCCCAATGTTATTCATAGTTTCAGTGTAATCCTAATCACAATCATAGCTTTTTTATCAAAATCAACAAACCAAAATGTTTATGGAAAAGCAAAGGAACTAGAATAGTCAAAACGATTTTGAAAAAGAACAGAGTTGGAGGATGCACTGTACTAATTTCAAGACCCTAAAGCAACACTAATCAAGACAAGGTGGTATGGGTGAAAGAGTACTACAGATTAATGTGATAGAATGGACGCACACATACTAAATTTTTGACAAGGATACAAATGCAATGTAGTGGTGTTGGAACGTGGACATCCATATTTAATTTATTTTTAATTTTTTAAAAGATCTTATTTATTTGACAGAGAGAGAGAGAGTGCGTGCACAGGCAGAGGGAGTGGCAGGCAGGACTTGATCCCAGGACTCTGGGATCATGACCTGAGCCAAAGGCAGCCACTTAACCTACAAGCCACCCAGGCGTCACCCATATTTAATTTAAAATGAACCTCTACTAGTGTTTTGCACCATGTAGAAAAATTAATTCAAAATGGATCATAGATTTAATGTAAAACCTAAAATTACTAAACTTCTAAGTCAAAAATATAGGTAAACATCTTCATGATTCCTCAAAGACTTCTTAGATTTGACAGAAAATGCAAGGTCTATAAAAAAAAATTGAATAAGTAAGCTCTGTGCGTCTTTCTATAATGAGTTGTTCTTCATTGAAATTACAAAATTCTTCTCTTAGAAAAGCACTGTTAAGATAATGAAAATAAAAGCACAGATTGGGAGAATATATTTGCAAAACACATTATCAAGAATATATACAGAACCCTCCTCATATCTTAATAATTAGAAAATGAACAACTCAATTGAAAACAACAGGCAAAAGATTTGAATAGACACTAAGGAAAATACATGATGGCAAGTAAGCACATGAAAAGATGTTCAACATTATTAATTATTAAGGAGATGCAAATTAAAACCATAATGAGATAATATTATACACTTATTCTAATGGCTAAAATAAAAAATATTTACCATGTCAAATACTAGAAATGATGTGGAAAAACTGAATCTTTATACATGGTTAGTGGGAATGGAAAATGGTATAGCCACTTTGAAAAAGTATTAGTTGTTTTTTTTTTAAGATTTTATTTATTTAGGGGCGCCTGGGTGGCTCAGTCGTTAAGCGTCTGCCCTCGGCTCAGGTCATGATCCCAGGGTCCTGGGATCGAGCCCCACATCAGGCTCCCTGCTCGGCGGGAAGCCTGCTTCTCCCTCTCCCACTCCCCCTGCTTGTGTTCCCTCTTTCGCTGTGTCTCTGTCAAATAAATAAAATCTTTAAAAAAAAAAAAAAGATTTTATTTATTTATTTGAGAGAGAGCACAAGTTCAGGGAGCAGCAGGAGAGGGAGAAGAAGCAGGCTCCCCGTTGAGCAGGTAACCTGATGTGGGACTCAATCCTAGGATCATGGTAAAATGACCTGAGCCGAAGGCAGACACTTAACCAAATGAGCCACCCAGGTGCCCCCAAAAAGCATTAATTTCTTATAAAATTAAGCAGAGGGGCACCTGGGTGGCTAGGTGGGCTGAGCATCCAGCTCTTGGTTTCAGCTCAGGTCATGGTCTTGGGCTCTGGAATGGAGCTCTGTGTCTGGCTCCGTGCTCAGCAGGGAGTCGGCTTGAGATTCTCTCCCTCTGCCCCACCCCCTGCTCATGTTCTCTCTCTCTCTCAAATAAATAAATAAATCTTAAAAACAAAACAAAACAAAAAGAGGGGCGCCTAGGTGACTCAGTTGTCGGGCATCTGCCTTTGGCTCAGGTCATGATCCCAGGGTCCTGGGATCCAGCCCCGCATTGGGTTCCCTGCTCGGTGGGAGGCCTGCTTCTCCCTCTCCCACTCCCCTTGCTTGTGTTCCTTCTCTCACTGTGTCTCTCTCTGTCAAATAAATAAATAAAATCTTAATTAAAAAAAAAAGAAAAAAGTTAAGCAAAAAACTGTCACAGGGACAGCTTGGGTAGGCTTTTGACTCTTCAGCTCAGGTCATGATCTTAGTTAGGGTCATGAAATTGAGCCCTGCATCAGGCTCCATGCTCAGTGCAGAGTCTGCTTGAAATTCTCTCTCCCTCTTCCTTTGCCCCTCCCCCTGCTTATGAAGGAATGTGCTCTCTTTCAAATAAATAAATAAATAAATAAAAATTTTAAAGCAAAAAAAAAAATGTTACACAATCCAACAATATTATTCTTAGGTATTAACCTAAAAGAAATAAAAAATGTCTACACAAAAACTCGTATGCTAATATTACTACCCAAAACTAGAAACAACTCAGAATGTCCTTCAAATGGTGAATGAATAAATGTTATTATAGCACATCTATACAGTGGACTGCCATTCACCAATAAAAAGGCATGAGCTCTGCAAATAGCTGTATACTTTATCCATATTCCATTTATATGACATTCTAAAAAAGGCAAAACTATAGGAACATCGGGCTCCCTGCTCCGCGGGAAGCCTGCTTCTCCCTCTCCCACTCCCCTGCTTGTATTCCCTCTTGCTGTGTCTCTCTCTGTCAAGTAAATAAATAAAATCTTAAAAAATAAAAAATCAGCATTGCCTGGGGACTGGTAGAAGGGATTGACAACAAAGGGCCATGAGACAACTTTTTAGAGTAATGAAAATATTCTATATTTTGGTTGTCAGATTCATACAACTATACATCTAAAATGGGCAAATTTTATTATATGTATATATAATATATGCATTGTACCTCAAAACTGACTTCAGCTGGTAACCATTTTATTCTTATTTTTTAAATTATTTTTTTGAGTTTATTTAGTTATTTTTGTAATCTCTACACTCAACGTGGGGCTCCAACTCATGACCCTGGGATCAAGAGTCACATGTCCTTCTGACTGAGCCAGCCAGGCACCCCCAGCTGGTAACTTTTTTTTTTTTTAAGATTTTATTTATTTATTTATTTATCTATTTATTTATTTAGTGCAAGTTGGGGGAGAGGGAGAGGGAGATAGAGAATCTCAAGCAGACTCCACACTGAGCACCGAGCCCAACGTTTGGCTCTGTCTCATGACCCTGAGATCATGACCTGAGCTGAAATCAAGAGTGGGACACTCAACTGACTGAGCCACCCAGGTACCCCCTAGCTGGTAACCTTTTTAAAAAATTTAATGAATGTACAAAGAATGATACGAGTTAACATTTACAATGATTGATTCAGGAGCACCTGGCTGGCTCAGTCAGTAGAGCATGCGACCCCTGATACCAGGGTTGTGAGTTCAAGCCCTGCATTAGGCGTAGAGCGAGCTTACTTAACTTACCAAATAAATAAGTGAGTAGATAAAATAATTGATTCAGGCAAAGGGTCTTGAATGGGTGCTAAACCATGAGATGAAATGTATTGTGGAACAGTATATTGGCATGACCCGCATAGGTTATTGGTAATCTTTATAATTGGAGGAGATTAGAGGAGTCACCATCTTAACCAAATCAAATTTCATATCCCTGACTAGGTGAGAACTGGACATTTTGTGCCTCCTGTGGGGGAGTAATATGAAGTGTGCAGCAATAGCAAATATGAACTACTCTTATCAAAAAATGTGACACCTGGATCTAAGCAAGCCTTTAAACCTAACTTCCATTTTATGGAAGTATGATAAAGCAATGAGTTAAATTACACCGTGAATAAACAATCAGACATACGCAGAATGTGGGATGTTTTCAAAGACCACTTGCCTGCTATTTTCAAAAATATTAGTACAGTAGAGGATAAAAGAGGGAAATCCTGGGACGCCTGGGTGTCTCAGTCAGTTAAGCGTCTGACTCTTGATTTTGGCTCAGGTTGTGATCTTAGGGTTGTGAGATCGAGCCCTCTGTCATTGGGCTTTGTGCTGGGCATGAAGCCTGCTTAAGGTTCTCTCTCTCTCCTTTCCCTCTGCCCCTCCCCCTTAATCTCTGTCTCTTAAAAAAAGAAAAAAAAAAAGAAATCCTTTTAGAACAGAAGAAAGATAACTATTGAACAGTACTTGAATACTGATTTAGAGGGCAGGGGGCAGGTGAGGAAATTTCAGTGTAGACTGGCTACAGTCAATGACATAGAGAGTTATTTTTCATTTTTTCTGAAGTGTAACAGTAGTGTGGTTAATTAAGAGAAAGTATTTCTAGGATATATATGATTAAGAGGTAAAGCATCCTGGGCGCCTGGGTGGCTCAGTTGGTTAAACGACTGCCTTCGGCTCAGGTCATGATCCTGGGGTCCTGGGATCGAGGCCCGCATTGGGCTCCCTGCTCAGCGGGGAGTCTGCTTCTCCCTCTGACCCTCCCCCCCTCATGCTCTCTCTATCTCATTCTCTCTCAAATAAATAAAATCTTTAAAAAAAAAAAAAAGAGGTAAAGCATCCTGATGTCTGCAGCTTAGTTTAAGTGTACACACACATAGAAAACAGGTTAAAAAATGTTAAGAGCTGTTTCTAGATAACGTGTATATGGCTATGCATTAGTATTGTTTTAACTTCTTTCTGCATGTTTGAAATTTTTCATAATAGAGGTGGATGTTTTTAGAACTCGGTTAAGAGAAATACTACGTATGATGACCTTATTATATGTGGTGCATTCCTGTAGATCCTATTAATATCAGGCATCTGTACATACATTGTACCCCCGAGAACAACTTTTACCGAACTGTGTTTTACATTATGTAACACCAGACTACTTGGAGAACCCTGGTAGAAAACAGCTCTGTGAAATGCTTTATATTGTAAGGGTGTTGTTGAGAGCATGGCTTACTGTATCATATGGGGTTCTTTCAGGGAAAGACCAGATTTTGGGTTTCGGTAACCAGAATAGTTGTACTACTTCCAAGAAACTGGATTTTGGGCATGTTACAGGCATTGAAGCAGGTAAGGGAATGGAGCTCATGTTTTACTGGCTGCTAGAAAGCTTGGATTTCACTCGTGGTCCATCTCTAGCAAGTACACTTTCCAGCTGCACTCCTGAGTGCTTCATCATTTTCCTTGCCTGCCTTCATTTTCCCTTAAATATGATTCCCTCATCTGTTTTTGGCTGTATTGATTTTGTTTTTTTTTAAAGGTTTTATTTATTTATTTGTCAGAGAGGGAGCACAAGCTGGGGGAATGACAGGCAGAGGGAGAAGCAGGCTCCTTGCTGAGCAGGGAGCCAGACACGGGGCTCCATCCCAGGACCCGGGGATCATGACCTGAGCCAAAGGCAGATGCTTAACCGACTGAGCCACCCAAGTGTCCCGGTTGTACTGATTTTGAAGATACTTTATGCCCAACCTTGTTCTGGCCATATTAAAAGGATTTAAAACAAAATAGTTTATGATTTGAAAGTCACAACCTAAAAGAGATTTTGGGGGCGCCTAGGTGGCTCAGTGGGTTAAGCGACTACCTTTGGCTCAGGTCATGATCCTGGAGTCCTGGGATCAAGTCCCACCTCAGGCTCCCAGCTCAGTGGGGAGCCTGCTTCTCCCTCTGACCCTCTCCCCTCTCATGCTGTTTCTCTCTCTCTCTCTCTCTCTCTCTCAAATAAATAAATAAATAAATAAAATCTAAAAAAAAAAAAGACAGATTTTTAATGTTATTATTATTAATCATATAAGTTCTTGCTCCCAAATCTAGAGATCCTTTATCCTCTAGCCAAATTTAGAATAAGGGAATATTAATAGAAAATTTAAAAAATATGTACCTTTAAGTATAAATAGGATATAAAAATCCTATTTTCTGGAGTAATACTGTTGTAGCTATATTAGCTCGAGAACCTTATTTTGGGGGAAGGGGTAATGCAGGGGGAAGAACAAGGCCATTTCTTGGATATGGATTTTCAGCGGCAGTTAGAATTGGCATTTTCCTTGACTTTAATTTAGTTTTTTAATTCTTTTTTTTTCAATTAATGAAGGGAAGTAAAATATACCATTGTTTACCATTAGCATTTCTTAAAGAAATAAGTACCAAAAAAAAAATCCTAATGAAAAATTATTAGTTGTTCTTGAGTGGTATTCAAATTCCTTTCCCCCATAATAGTATCTTCCTTCTGTTAAAGGGTACTTTATATTTTATAAAGTATTTTTCAGTATCAGCCTGTTGATACAGATATTATATTTGCAGTTTGCCTCTTGGGTGGTAAAGTCCTCATCTAATTTCTTCTTGAGATTGCTGTATTACATTTTAAAAGATGCCTTGTCTGACAACAGAATGTTTACAGGAGGAATAACAACATTTACTATAAAATATGTGGTATGAATCAATGATGGCTAAGACTTTACATATATATTAAGTAAGAGTGTCTTTTGATACACCCTAAGTTTATTCTAACTTAAAAGGAAGTGTTCAATTTATAAATAAGATTTTCTTCTTTAGCTAAGATTCCTAAGTTCAGTGGAATTGTCTCTGAAGTTTTTTCCCTTTAAAGGTTTGCAAAGTAGCTTCTTAAACAAAATGATCTTTAAAGGCTTTTTTGTACTTATAAAACTAAGTTTTGATTTTATATTTGGACATGCTTAAATCTTAACCTTAATAACCTATGCTTTCTACCAGGAGGATTATGCTAAAATTAATTGCAAAAACAAGGTTAGTTGTAAACATAGGTGTGAGTAAGGCAAGATTGCCATCTTCTTTGCTCCGGCAGAGTAATTCCTAGAACTAGGATTTAGCTTTCATTGCTTATATCACTTGGAATTCACTTTTTCTAGTTTGCCAAAATACAGTAAGACAAGGTGCACAATTTTCTTTCTTTTTGCAACTCTTTTCAAGTGAAAGTGCCATTCATTTTCATTCTTACTCTGATTCATTTCTTAACACATGAAAATCAAATTCAGTTTTGTAGTAGTGCCTGTTAGTCATGTGAACTTTCTGCAACATCTCCATTTATACGGTTTCACACATCACTCATAGGACAAGTTTCCACAAAGACCTGTTTTGTTCCATTGTCCGATCCACCCTGAAGAAACCAGTTTCCAAGCTATGTGCAGCTTTGTAAATCAAGATGAACTGGTCAGAAATTGGATACAGAAACAGAAAGAAACCAAATAATGCTTCCCAGTTAACAAGCAGAGTTTGTTATATATAATAAAATTGCAAGTAACAAAATGTTTTGCCTTCTAAGAATATTCTATTAAGAAAGTTCATATCACATTCATATTGTAATCATAGTTCAAGTCATTTGTTTGTTTCCATTACTGTTAGAGTTAGGAAAATATAAGTAATGCTTTTTGTAAGATACTCTAGGCAACAGACGGCAGTGAGAACAAATGATGAAATGTGAATTTTAGTTCTGGGTATTTCTTAGCAAGTCTTATGTGAGTAGCTATGTATCAAGTTTGATGAGAAGAGGAGTTTGGTATTGGACACAGATTTCCTTCTTTCTGGCAACATTTAGCAGTAGCAAGGAATGTAGTGTCGTGTGGAATTTATTTTTCCAGGGATTCTCCATCTAGGTCAGGGGGAAAGGAATACCCATACACAATTCCTAGGTAACAATATGTTTTTCACCATAGTGGTAAAATCAAATATAATGTATTCACAGCTTAATTTGTGGCTTTTGTAAAGACCCTTGAAATATTTTCTCCATGAGTAAATGTTTTGTCAAATTATTTTACCTTCTTTAGAACTTTAAAGAGTATAAAGCAGTGTTCCAAAGTTTTGGTTTTTTTTTTTTTCCCAATGATCTTTAAACTTCATGCTTTTAACTTAGCATCTGATAACCTCCCAAAGAATCTGCATCTTTTGTGATCCTTTTCTTTCTCCTCCTGAGAAATTAAGAAAGGAAACAAAGGAAGCAAAGAAAACATAAAATGTCCTCTACTCATTATTCCAACAATAGGCAAACACCAGGCTTCCATAGCCAAAGTAAGTTAGAGAATTCTCAGAGTACTTAGTGCAAATAAATAGTCTGGGTCCTGAATCACATGAATATGTTATAGAGCGTAAAACTGTTGGGGAGAACACATGATACATTTAAATTTTTTTCATCCTCCTAATTTCCCAACACGTTCTGAGAAGGAAATCATAATAAATATGGGATGTTTTTTCCCCCATAAAGCCCTTTCCCACCATAGATACTCCCATGCACACATTTATTTTCTGTTTTGAAGAAGTCAGATTAGCAAGGCAACTTTTCTGAAACATTTCTTCTTTACTTGAGAATAGAAAAGTATTAAATTGAAGAATTAAATGCCTTTGTGCTTCCAGCTGCTTTTCCCTGACACTTCTTTCTTAGGTGTCATGGTCTCCGCTCTCCCCTGCAGACTGACAGTTTAGGACTATAATTTCTCAGTGTATTTTCTTATTTCTCATTTGGTAAGATTTGAATTGTTGGAAACAGTAGTCTTAAAATATGCATTAGGTTTTCTTCTTTATTATTGCATTTTTATTGAGGTATAACCCACATACTGTAAAAGGCACATATCTTGACTGTACAAATTTGAGTTTTAACATTTGCACACATCAGAATCAATGGGAAGGGCTTTCTAAAATATTCCTGCCAAGAGGTTAAAAAGTTTCTTGGATGATTCTGAGCTACACCTAGTTAAGAATCTTTGCCTTTGTAAAGAACCAACTTGAGTAATACACATAAAAATACGTGGTGTATCATAAAATGTTATGCAGATTAAATTTAGGTTACTATTTAAAAAAACTTAAATTTCTCATGTGCCTTTTTCATGGGGTTTGCAATGCTGGTTCACAGGTGAAATTCTTACTTTGTTTTTCTGTTTGTTTTTAAGAAAATTAATGCAAAACTTCATGATGGAGTTTGTCAGCACTGTAAAGAAGTTCTTGAATGGCGTGTAAAATATAGCAAATATAAACCATTGTCAAAGCCTAAAAAATGGTGAGTTATGTTTCTTAATTATCTTACCAATAATATATGTATAATAGTTTATTATTTCATTCCCTGATACTCAAAATTGCATCCAACTAAATATTAAGGTAGATGGAGAAAAAATCCCATTCTCCCATGTAGAATTTCATCTTACATGCTGATTCCTGCTTTATAAAATGGATGCATCCTTTCCCATCCCATTCGTTATTTTCTTTTAAAGATTTTATATTAAAGATTTTATTTATTTATTTGAGAGAGAGAGAGAATGAGAGAGAGCACATGAGAGGGGGGAGGGTCAGAGGGAGAAGCAGACTCCCTGCAGAGCAGGGAGCCCAATGCGGGACTCGATCCCGGGACTCCAGGATCATGACCTGAGCCGAAGGCAGTCGCTTAACCAACTGAGCCACCCAGGCGCCCAAGATTTTATTTATTTATGTGTCAGAGAGAGAGAGAGAGCAGGGGATGGGGAGAGTGAGAGAGAGAGACAAAGAGCACAAGCAGGGGGAGGGGCAGAGGGAGAGGGAGAAGCAGACTCCCTGCTGAGCAGGAAGCCCCGACCCTAAGGCAGATGCTTAACCAACTGAGCCACCCAGGTGCCCCTTTTCAGTCTTTTTTTCATATTCTTTAGCATTTCCTTGCAAAAGAAGATACTTTTAAACAAATCTGATGAGTTTTATGCTCACTGGCCCAAATTAGCCATAGGGAAGTTTGGCAACTGTTGGTGCTATCCAAGGCTAGATTTCCATGAACAAATTAACTGTGTTTTCTGCTGTATTCTCTGTAGCTGGTTGTGCTATGTATAAGCCATGTAGTTTTAGTTTATAGGCCTATTATATTATATGTAGCTTTCTAGGGGCACCTGGCTGGCTCAGTTGGTGGAGAATGCGACTCTTGATCTTGAGGTTGTGAGTTAGAGCCCCGTATTGGGTGTAGAGACTCCCTAAAAAATAAAAATCTTTTTAAAAAAGCGATTCCTCTCTAAATGTTGGTATAACTTTGGGTGCCTGGCTGGCTCAGTCAGAAGAGCATGGGACTCTTGATCTCGGGGTCATGAGTTCAAGCCCCATGTTGGGTGCAGGAATTACTCAAAATAAATATATTCAAAAATTTTAAAAAACTCTTAAAAAAAAAAAGAATAGTTGGATGTGGACATCTAGACTCAAAGGTCAGCAACTCTGTCCTGTCTTGGAGTCATTGAAGTCCTTGGAGTCAAGAAAGCTCATGATAATGTTGCCACTACCTAGGTAGTACAGTGACCCAGAGCTCTTTGAGAAACTTGAGGTAGGTCAAGGAAATGAAGCCTCAGGAGCTGCTATTCCCCATCACCCTAAGGCAGATGAGGTTAGCCACAGAATAGCTCACGATGAGTGCAAAATGAAGGAAACTTAATATTGTACAAATTCCCAATTACAGATAACAAGACATTCAAGCCTAAAGGAAGATCTTTAGGAATAAAGAAGCCCAAGCTAATGTGGAACAAATGATTATTCATGAGAGATCAAGAAACTGCTAGGTTTAAAAAAAAATTTTTTTTATTAACATATAATGTATTTTTTAAATTTTATTTTATTATTTTGTTAGTCACCATACATTACATCATTAGTTTTTGATGTAGTGTTCCATGATTCATTGTTTGCATATAACTCCCAGTGTCCATGCAGAACGTGCCCTCTTTAATTCCCATCACCAGGCTAACCCATCCCCCCACCCCCCTCCCCTCTAGAACCCTCAGTTTGTTTCTCAGAGTCCATAGTCTCTCATCGTTCGTCTCCCCCTCCGATTTCCCCCCTTTCATTCTTCCCCTCCTGCTATCTTCTTTTATTTTAAACATATAATGTATTATTTGTTTCAGAGGTACAGGTCTGTGATTCATCAGTCTTACACGATTCACAGCGCTCGCCATAGTACTTACCCTCCCCAATGTCCATTACCCAGCCACCCCATCCCTCTCACCCCCCACCACTCGAGCAACCCTCAGTTTGTTTCCTGAGATTAAGAGTCTCTTATGGTTTGTCTCCCTCTCCGGTTTCATCTTGTTTCATTTTTCCCTCCCTTCCCCTATGATCCTCTGTCTCGTTTCTCAAATTCATTGTATCAGTGAGATCATATGATACTTGTCTTTCTCTGGTTGACTTATTTCACTTAGCCTAATACCCTTTAGTTCCATCCACGTCGTTGCAAATGGCAAGATTTCATTTTTTTTTTTTTAAGATTTTATTTATTTATTTGAGAGAGAGAGAGTGAGAGAGAGAGCGCAAGAGGGGGTAGGGTTAGAGGGAGAAACAGACTCCCTGCCGAGCAGGGAGCCCGATGTGGGACTCGATCCCAGGACTCCGGGATCATGACCTGAGCCGAAGGCAGTCGCTTAACCAACGGAGCCACCCAGGCGCCCCAAGATTTCATTTTTTGATGGTTGCATAATATTCCATTTTATGTATATACCACATCTTTTTTTTTTTTTAAGATTTTATTTATTTATTTGACAGAGAGAGACACAGCGAGAGAGGGAACACAAGCAGGGGGAGTGGGAGAGGGAGAAGCAGGCCTCCTACGGAGCAGGGAGCCTGATGTGGGGCTTGACCCCAGGATCCTGGGAACATGACCTGAGCCGAAGGCAGATGCTTAACAGCTGAGCCACTCAGGCGCCCCTATACCACATCTTCTTTATCCATTCATCTGTTGATGGACATCTAGGCTCTTAACATACTTTGGCTATCGTGGACATTGCTGCTATACATATCGAGGTGCACGTGCCCCTTTGGATCACTACATTTGTACCTTTGGGGTAAATACCCAGTAGTGCAATTGCTGGGTCATAGGGTAGCTCTATTTTCAACTTTCTGAGGAACCTCCATACTGTTTTGCAGAGTGGCTGCACCAGCTTGCATTCCCACCAACAGTGTAGGAGGGTTCCCCTTTCTCCGCATCCCCGCCAACATCTGTCGTTTCCTGACTTCTTAATTTTAGCCATTCTGACTGGTGTGAGGTGGTATTTCATTGAGGTTTGGATTTGGATTTCCCTGATGCTGAGCGATGTTGAGCACTTTTTCGTGTGTTTGTTAGCCATTTGGATGTCTTCTTTGCAGAAATGTCTGTTCATGTGTCTACCCATATCTTGATTGGATTCTTTGTTCTTTGGGTGTTGAGTTTGATAAGTTCTTTATAGATTTTGGATACTGGCCCTTTATCTGATATGTCATTTGCAAATATCTTCTCCCATTCTGTCAGTTGTCTTTTGGTTTTGTTGATCGTTTCCTTTGCTATGCAAAATCTTTTTATCTTGATGAAGTCCCAATAGTTCATTTTTGCCCTTGCTTTCCTTGCATTTGGTGATATTTCTAGGAAGAAGTTGCTGCGGCGAGGTTGAAGAGGTTGCTGCCTGTGTTCTCCTTTAGGATTTTGATGGATTCCTGTCTCACATTTAGGTCTTTCATCCATTTTGAGTCTATTTTTGTGTGTCGTATAAGGGAATGGTCTATTTTCATTCTTCTGCATGTGGCTGTCCAATTTTCCCAACACCATTTGTTGAAGAGACTGTCTTTTTTCCATTGGACATTCTTTCCTGCTTTGTCGAAGATGAGTTGACCATAGAGTTGAGGGTCCATCTCTGGGCTCTCTATTCTGTTCCATTGATCTGTGTGTCTGTTTTTGTGCCAGTACCATACTGTCTTGATGATGACAGCTTTGTAATAGAGCTGGAAGTCCGGAATTGTGATGCCACCAGCTTTGCTTTTCTTTTTCAACATTCCTCTGGCTATTCGGGGTCTTTTCTGGTTCCATACAAATTTTAGGATTATTTGTTCCATTTCTTTGAAAAAAGTTGATGGTAGTTTGATAGAGATTGCATTAAATGTGTAGATTGCTCTAGGTAACATAGACATTTTCACAATATTTGTTCTTCCAGTCCATGAGCATGGAACGTTTTTCCATTTCTTTGTGTCTTCCTCAATTTCTTTCATGAGTATTCTATAGTTTTCTGAGTACAGATCCTTTGTCTCTTTGGTTAGATTTATTCCTAGGTATCTTATGGTTTTGGGTGCAATTGTAAATGGGATTGACTCCTTCATTTCTCTTTCTTCTGTCTTGTTGTTGGTGTATAGAAATGCAATTGATTTCTGTGCATTGATTTTATATCCTGCCACTTTACTAAATTCCTGTATGAGTTCTGGCAGTTTTGGGGGGAGTCTTTTGGGTTTTCCACATAAAGTATCATATCGTCTGCAAAAAGTGAGAGTTTGACTTCTTCTTTGCCGATTTGGATGCCTTTTATTTCTTTTTGTTGTCTGATTGCTGAAGCTAGGACTTCTAATACTATGTTGAATAGCAGTGGTGATAGTGGACATCCCTGCCGCGTTCCTGACCTTAGGGGGAAAGCTCTCAGTTTTTCCCCATTGAGAATGATATTCGCTGTGGGTTTTTCATAGATGGCTTTTATAATATTGAGGTATGTACCCTCTATGCCTATACTCTGAAGAGTTTTGATCAAGAAAGGATGCTGTACTTTGTCAAATGCTTTGTCTGCATCTATTGAGAGGATCATATGATTCTTGTTCTTTCTTTTGTTAATGTATTGTATTACATTGATTGATTTGTGGATGTTGAACCAACCTTGCAGCCCAGGAATAAATCCCACTTGGTCGTGGTGAAAGGAAAACTGCTAGTTAAACCAAGGTCTGAACATGTTACTGAAGACATCACCTGCCTGGCCTAGAATATCATGAATTTCAAATTACACTGAACACATGGCACATTAGGCATATTGGAAAGCCTTAGCTTTCAAAGTCTAATCCAGGATTGGGAGTGTCATAGAAAGTAGAACTCACCTATATCCACGTTGCATTCTTTGCATATTAATACGTTACTAACATTGTAAGGGATTTAAGTGCATTGATGAAAGATGCTGATGGTAACATAACTTTTTTAGAAACTTTGAATGTTTTACTCAAGCTAATCTTGCTTAGAAGTTAAATTTGTCCTTTGTCAGGATTTGTATGAGAAGTTTTCTTTGA